GGGATGTGTTAAATAATGTACTCTTAACAACCTATAACCGGTGTGACATGAAAAAAAAAAAAAAAAAACAAAAGATAAAGTTCACTACAAATGTTTTCGAACTGCTGCGAGTTCTTCTTCAGGTGTAAAACAGAATTTCTGATGAACTCACAGCAGTTCGAAAACACTTGTGGTGAACTTTATCTTTTGTTTTTTTTTTTCATGTCACACCAGTTATAGGTTCTAAGAGTACATTATTTAACACATCCCATGTTTTGTGGTGTAGTTTATTTGTAAACTATCAATATATACTGGATAAAGAATAAGTTAAAAATTACATATTATATTAAATTTTTGCTGGATTGACAAAGGTATACACAGGTATAGTAACTTATTCTTTATCCAGTATATAGTTTATTACATGCTTATCAATGGCCATGCTAGCCAAACCCTATAGACAAATGGTCCTCAAGTTATGCAAAGCAAGGGCTAAATTTGAATTTTTCATAAAAATAAATGTTTTTTCTGTCTATTTTCTCCCTGTATGTATATAGTAGGTATATAGTTGTTATTATGGGGTTTTCCCCATAATAACAACTATGGGGAAAAACCCCATAACAAATATATACCTACTTTTGCACTCCCTCTGTATATTGAGTTAAATTATCTTGAATAGAAGTTTAGGTTTAACTATAAGATAATTATTATATTCTTGATTAAGAATCAGCTGATACTTATTCCTTTTGAGTAGAATGAATGTTATAAGTTTATAAAAATAAATTAACCATATTACATACTCTTTTGGAAGGAATATGATGCCGATAACAAGCTTCATGAGCTGTATTAAATAAACCAAGAAATTCTAATGGACAATTGACTCTACTCTTTAGACCAGGAATGTCTGTTAAAGGTACTTCTACAGGATCTTCTGTTGCTGGACTTTAAAAAAATAAACAAATAACAATTAGTAATGTAATTCAAAGTATTAACATTATATTATGAAATTCATTAAAATAATTCATATTAAGTTAAGATTTATCCATTGAAAGTTGTATTTAAACAAAACATACAATCAATTATTACTATATTTGCATAATTCTGATAGAAACATTTTCAGAAGTTGACATGATTTCTGAATAGCTAGATATAAAAGATTATTATTTGGGTGTCAGAGATTTGTGGTGTAGTTTATTTGTAAACTATCAATATAATCTGCCAAGTGTTTGAAAGGAGTCACGTTATTGTGTCTGAATAAAGCAAATTAAATTAAAACACGATTTCATCAGAATCAAAAGATTATTATTCTTCAAAGTTTCATGATAAAAAGTTAATTTTTAATAATTCTAAGCAGAATTAATTCTTCAGTTTCTTACAACATATGCAAAATTATTCATTTCAAGTTTTATTTTTATTGAAATGTAAATTTTAATCATAACTTAATAAAATATTGATAAATATATTCTTAAATTGGACCAAAAAAAAAAAATCAAATCAAATCAAAAATATAGTTTGAAGTTAAAATACAGTCTCAATACTTAATAATTTATTTAAAAATAAATCAACTTATTATTAAAAACATTTATATTGAATTAGATTGTTACTTAAATTATTAATATTACAAATGAATGCTAATATTAATTATTAATATTAATCAAAGCCTTCTTTTTGAAATTCATTATTATCTCAAGATCTATAAAAATTGTTTCAACAGAGACTAAAATTACTAAAGCTAATTACTTAAAGATAATTTCAAATATAAACAATTTTTTTTCTAAAGTAAAACTGAATTATACCATTAATATCCAAAATACTGTGGATAAAAATTTAATTTAAATAGTAAAATTTTTCCTTCTTTTTTTTAAATTAAATTAAATTTTTAAATTTATGTATGTCAGCCTCAGAACCTATTGTTTGATCCTGACTAAAGATATAAGAATTTATTAGGATCTTAAAATCACGCTAAAATTTTCAGGTTTCCACTTTAAATGATTTTTTAATATATTCAATGAGCAAATATGAGCAAAAAACATTAATATAAGTGAAAATTTTTCCTCTTAAATTATTAAAAAAAACTGTGTATGTATGTATGTATGTATGTATGTATTATATATACAAAGACACATGGCATGATTAAAAAGAAATCAGACTATTCCCAGTATTTGACAATAATGCAAAGTTAGTCTTTTTGCCAACAAGAATATATAAATATCTTAGACATTTGAGCAGCAGCCTGTCACATGACATTGAGATTTTCAAACTGAAACAGTTGCTATACATGATTTTGTAATGTGTTAGTATCTGCAAACATTAAATTTTGCATTAAAGCTGAGAAATCAGCCACAAAGAACCTTGAAATGCTTCAGAAGTTCTTGGAAGCCATGGGCAAGACCAATCTCTGACACCCAAACAAGCAAGGCCAGTCAGAAGCACGATAAAGAGCATGTTGACAGTTTTTTCAACCATAAAGAAATTGCATAATGCAAACTTGTTCCTCCTGGTCAGACAGTGAATTCACTTTTTACTGTGATGTTTTTAGACAATTGCATAGAGATCTTGATTACAAAAGACCAGAACTGTGCCAGAATCAAATCTAACTCTTTCATCATTACAATGCTCCTGCATTGTATTCCAATTCACACAAGCATTTTTTATGAGAAACAACATAACAGTCTTCCCAGTCTATATATTTGATGGGTTTAGCTCCTTATGATTCTTTCTGTTCTCCAGAATGAAACTGAAGCTCAAGGGAAGCATTTCAATATGGTTTAGACAATCTAATCCAAATTTCAACAGGTGCTTTGAAATTTTTAAAGCAATGGTTTCAAAAGAGCATTTGAAGCTTGGCAGAAGCAGGTCACTGCATAAATATAGGTAGGAACTACTTTGAAGGGGATAAAGGCCATTAAAAAGAATTTAAATTAGTTAAGTATTAAAATCATTATAGACAAAAATCAGGTTTCTTTTTGATTGCCTCACATATATACATTAAAAAGCTGAAAAATTGTACCTTAGATATTAAGAAATACAAAAATATTACAATTAAAATTATTAATTTATTTGAATCTGGTATTTACAAGTAATAGCATTAAATAAAATAATATAAGAAATACCTAGATTCTTTCTGTGGACTTTCTCTTTCTTGAACACCACTTCCAGCAAGATTTGTGCCAGAAATATCTAAAGATGTTAAATGTGGTAAACTCTCCACAATTTGCCTTAATGTTTGATTAGGGTATTTATAATGTCCACGTTTTTCATTACATTGTGATACATCTAAATGTCTAAAAAGATGATAAAATATTTTTATGACAAGATTTATAAAGTTTTATAATTTAAAGTAAATTTGTTAAAAAATAAAAATTTTCCAGAATAAAAATATGCAATTTTGATTAATATTCAAACTTCCAACAGACTCCAAACAAATATAAAATATTTCACATATGTTACTAATCAATTAAGATAAAGATCTTTACTTAAATTAACACTCCTAAACCTTACAATTCCAGTAATAAACATTTAATATCAAACTAATGTTTTCGACCGTACATTCAGTCTTCTTCAGGTTTAAAAACCGTTAGATTCGAACATGTGAATGCATAGAACAAAAATTCTAAAATTATTTTCAAAAAATGGAACAGTACCACTGTAATTTAAAAGAATAAAAACTTATGCATGTGCATTGCCATGTCGACAACATGTTAAATGTGATACATACTTTCCTATAATGACCTATATGTGATCCATACGTTGACATACATATAATGACATAAATGCGATACATACGTTCCTATAGTGACATATATAAATACATCAAATGGAAGTGTGGCTTATAACCGCTAGTGTGGGCATTGCTAGTTCATTCATAGCAGTATTTCCAAGAGTGTGACACATTACCGGCATCATTAGAGTTAATGCAATTGGTGCGTAACCCGGCCTTGTAAATTTCAAGTGCCTCAAGGTTTCGTAAGTGTTCTACACGGTGAGAAAGTTTAATCAGTTTAGCCTCATGTAGGTCAGCTCTTATGCCGGGTTCAGATCTTTACTTAAGCACAAAAATCAGAAAATACAGCAAAAAATAAACTTTAAAAAAAATTTGAGTTATCTAAATTAAAGTTTATTTTTTGCTGGATTTTCTGGTTTTTATTTATATATACAGCAAGACCGTGCTTAATGTTGCTTCAATTAATGCTGATTCAATATAACATAGTCTGCTTGAAGCCTAAAAAAAAAGATCAAAATTTACACTGATTCAAATTATTGCAGTATTTTGCTGATTCATTTATATTATATGATTATTCATGAACATGAACCAATCAGCAAAAGGTAGTAATTCTTCATAGCCTAAATCTATGTTTGGTGCAATTTTGGAAAAATGTAACATCATGGATGCCATAGGCAATATCAACTTTGCATGGCAAAAATTAACTGATGAATGCATGAACAGAATGTGGAAGAAGTTATGGCTGAAGGTATCCAAGAATTCTCAATGGGAAGAGCCTATTGCTGTATCATTAGGTTAACCAAATTGTCAACCTAATCGATACAGCAGGACTAGATGTAGACAAGCAGGATATTGAGGAGTTACTGCAGGTTTTTGGTGAGAGCCTTACCAACGATGACCTTCAAGAACTGGCAGAACAAGGAATTCCTGTAGAACTGGAAAATAGAGATTCTGAAAACAAAGAACCCAAAAATTTTCTCTACAGATTTTCTTAGTAAAAAGTTTGGTAAGGATAACCAAAATCATTGTTCAAATTGTAGCAAATGATCTAAATTTTGAAAAGAGTGCAAAAGCAAGATGAGGCATTTTGGATGCAATCTTCTGCTACTGACATTTGCTTAAGGAAAGAAAAACAAGCAACAAATGAAACTACACGACTTTATCGTAAAAAATAAGAATTTCAGAAGAGCCAGGACCTTCATCACAAAAAATGAACTTTACATTTCTCTGTGCATATGTTTCTGTATTATTTAACATATATTATGTAAATTAATATAAAAATAACTTAAAATTAAAGTAAAATTTGTTTATTTTTGGTTGTGTGTTCCCCTTTCCCCATTTACTCTATGTTAAAATGACCTTGTTTAATGCTGTTTTGTTTAGTGCTTAGGAATGCATCCCCAGGGTTAAGCGGGGTCTTATTGTACTATTTCATCCAGCTATTAGGAAACATTGATTATATCTAAACATTTTCAGATTTTATAAATTTATTCTGAAATAATGATTTTTTTATCTTCAGAAGAATTTATTATATAACATAAAGGAAGATTAACAATAAGCCTTTACTCCACTTTTTACAATTTTTAATACAAATGTATTATATTAAGCATACATAGAATTAATTACACACAACTTTACTACACATATGTAGATTAATAGTTTCATGTTTGTGACAACCCTTTCATTGTAATAATATTCTACATATGTGTAATAAATTATATTAAACATATGTGAAGATATAATCAAATAAGCCCAATCCATATAAATATTCTATTTTTACAGTAACATCTTACAATATATAAGATAATATAAACAAAAATACTAGAATGTTTTATAGACAAACTCTATTTCAGTGTTAATTCAGTAAATATAAAATATACATGTACCACAGTATACATACATGTATACTGTGGCACATGTTACAGTTTAATTAACTAATAACTAACAGTATTTTAATTTTTAGTTGTGATATCATTATTATATTAATTAATTATATTAATTGAAGATATAAAAAATTATATTTACTGTATATATGTTGTATAAAGANTAAAAAATATTTTAAAAATTACCTTCCAGCAATCTGTATATGCTTTTCAGTCAAATGCTGCTTCATAGCAACCATAACAACATCTAATGCAAGACGAGAATTGTTACAAGAATCATAACGAAAGACATGAAATAAATCATTTAAAACTTTCTGTAGAATTTCTGGCCGATC